ATGGGCCGACAGAACAGTGTGGCGAGCATGGGCCAGCAGAACAGTGTGGCGAGCATGGGCCAGCAGAACAGTGTGGCGAGCATGGGCCGACAGAACAGTGTGGCGAGCATGGGCCAGCAGAACAGTGTGGCGAGCATGGGCCGACAGAACAGTGTGGCGAGCATGGGCCAGCAGAACAGTGTGGCGAGAATGGGCCACCAGAACAGTGTGGTGAGGATGGGCCAACAGAATAGAGGGACAGGCATGAGACGGCAGGGTGGTATGGGCAACCCGAATGGTCCTGGCAGTATGGCCAACATGCGTCCGTTGGGGGGTATGGGTGGCGAGGTACCTTATGGTTTCAACCCGTTTGCTGGTGAGTACCCTGAACCGAATGGATTTCANTGGCGAGCATGGGCCAGCAGAACAGTGTGGCGAGAATGGGCCGACAGAACAGTGTGGCGAGCATGGGCCAGCAGAACAGTGTGGTGAGGATGGGCCAACAGAATAGAGTGACAGGCATGAGACGGCAGGGTGGTATGGGCAACCCGAATGGTCCTGGCAGTATGGCCAACATGCGTCCGTTAGGGTGTGTGGGTGGCGAGGTACCTTATGGTGCCAACACTTTCGTTGGTGAGTACCCTGAACCGAATGGATTTCAGCCACAGGGAGCGTTTGGTGGCCAAGTCGCATATCCGCCGGGAGGTGGATACATGCAATGAGTTGTTTTTCCCCAGCATATTAACATTGTGTACTAGGATGGAGAGTGAGTCCTTCTTTATTTGTCCTTTCTTCTTTTATCCCTGCTCTTTGTTTTAATTTTGCTTTGTAGCCTCCTCCATGTTGTGCACATGATTGCTTTTCGTAATATATTGGAGTGGGTTCGGCCTATTTATTTCAGTGGTTCGTGTCTGCTGTGAATTTGTAAGGCATGCTCCCGCGGTAAACGGGCGCCAAAACCCCCGGTTTTGATGTGAAAGATATTGGGCCGCTAATGAAAAAGACAGATGTATTGATAATGGGGTTGTGAATAAATGTGTGCTGAGATGGGAGGGTCATTTTCATATCTCTCGGGCCACTGAGGATTTGCTATTAAGAAATAGCGGACCACTTTTGCTCGAGTAGGGTGGAATACACATTTTGCGTCCTTTCATGACAACAGCTATCTGCGTGGCCTGACAACCCGACGGAGAAGCAAAATGTTTTTTTTTCCCCCCAACGTCGGCCTTACTGTGTGTTGCCTTCCTTGTGTGCATAGCTGATTTCGTCTTCAACGGGACCCATCTTTTTGTTTTGTTTTGTTCAGCCGGAGTGGCTGGTTGGTGAGCGGGTTGTGTTGCGATTCTTGTGCCCTCTTCGTCCGCTTGGCCGCTGCGCTCAATGCCTTCCCCTCGCCCCGCCGTTGACACTCTGCGTGTGCATGTGTGTGTAGGTAGACAGGATGGAACGAGTGCGCCACGTTGTGCTGCGCATGGCCCCCCGCGGCCGTTGGACCGACCCCTCTTGCTCAGCGTGATTAGACACTGGATGAACTTGTCCTCCACCGACGTGTGCGACGCGCACACGAATTGATGCAGAGCCACATCCTCATGAGCTGCTTCCCTCCCCTCTTTCTCTTTCCTCCTCTCCTCTCTTCAGCCGCGACTCGCCGTCTTCACCGGCCGACCCTGTGCGGGAATCGTTGTCCCCCGTGGTCTGGTGGCTGCTGCAAGGGCCCGTTGAGTGGGATGCCACGCTCTTCCACCCTTGCGGGACTATCCCAATTGAGGCGCCCGAGAACTGTGTTGTGAGGAGGCATGTCGACTGTTTGCGTTTGCGTGTCTGTCAGCAAGGGCGCCCCTGAGTGGAGTACTCCTGTGCGCACTCTGTTTTGGTCTTTTTTTGTGCTCCGCTGTGCCTTGTACAGTGTATTAGTTATCTTACCTGTCACATGATGAAGCTTGCATATGAGCAGGTGAAGGGGTGCGCTGATGTCGTCTCTTCGTTCTTGCTGCTTCTACAGCCGGACGTGAAATGAGTCATCACGTACGACCTGCTCTTTTCGTGGATGTATTTGTTTCACGCACCCTTCCGCGTTCACTCTAACAGCCGCACGGACTGGTACGCGCAGGTCACCAAAGTGCTTCAGGCGTGGCTCGGTGCTGTGATTCTCTTCTTTCATGCCGGGCCGCGGTTCTTTGAGTCCAGGCGAGCTTCCCGTCTTGAAGTGAGCGCAAACGAGGAGGACGCTGTGGCGACTGTGTTCTTCCCTACATTCACTACGACCACCCTCATAATCTTGTATGTGCACAAGAAGAAGCGGGATTGGGGGTTGAGTCTCACGTATGGCTCCACTGTGACGATTGTGTTGTTGAACGCGCTGCTGCTTTCCCTATTTTCGACAGTGCACTACGGATATTGTATGCAGCTGCAGGAGCGTCGTTGGTCACCGTGGCTGGAGGGTGCCGTGGATATCGTGTGCCCTCGATCGACCCATCAAACCCCATTCTTAACTTTGATGCTTCTGAGCGTGTTGAATGTTCTCTTCATGGCACTGGACTATCAGTACAAAAAGGTGCGTGGATTTGACCCGGTGCGTGGGCTGCTGTGGAGTGAGGTTTTCGATATGCGGAAGGAAGGGTCTCAGGCATCTGCTGTGGAGGCTTGTAGTGACCGGCGGAGGCTGCAGCAGCAGCCGCGGCGGATAACGAAACACAGGAAATCAATAGTTGCTACGTCAAAGGGGCCTGCGAGTTGTAGCTTTGCCGCTTCTCCCGAGGAGCTGAAACTTCTTAGGTCCGGCTCGTACCCCGTGAATCGGCCTGGCATGGTGCCGTGGTTCTCGACCTTTATTGCGGGTACGGCGTTGCAGGCATCTTTGGGGGCGCTGTTGAACTTCTTGACGTTTGACCAGCGTTGTGTAGAGCTGCACTCGGCGCCGAAGGTTTTCCATCTCTCTTTTGTGAGTCGGTTGGGTGTAGCCGCAGACCCGGTGTGCGACGCTGAGGCGGTGGGAGGGCCCCCAGCTGCGGAGAGGCCGTCGCTGAGTGATTCTTTGGCCGATCGAGGGAGCGATGTGTGGTTCGACTTCATTGGTGACGTTGGGGATGGATTCAACTCGACGTATGAGATGGCCCGTCTTCTGGCGCAGCCTTTTTTGATGCTGCCAACGACCGAAAGACGGAGGGCGAAGGGAGCTGGGCTTGGCGTCAAGCAGCGCCCCCGCAACGCGTCGTTTACGGCCGCGTCAGCGAAGCCTTCACGCTGCGGTTCGGTGCCCAAGCAAAGGCGATCCCGAGGAAGCGTCAGTGGGACTTCAATCATACTTGACGATTACGAGCCGGAGGAGCACCATTATCTTCCACGTGCGTCGTTTGTGATCATTGGTGGGGACTTGGCGTACCCCAACCCCACCGACGAGACGTACCAAACACGTCTGCGGGAACCCTACCAAGATGCGCTTCGAGCCTGCGGTGGGTTGCGTGAGCTGGTGCGGGAACGGTACGATGAGTTGGTGGTTCGGAATGAAAAGTGCAGAGATGAAGCGTATGTTTCTATGCTGTCTGCGTCAAGAGTGGAGGCGATGGTCCGTCGCAGTGGTCCCTTGAGTGGTGAGTCTGGCGAAGGTGAGGCTCTGCGCAGTGTGCCGCTCATGTTTGCTATTCCCGGCAACCACGACTGGCTGGATGGTCTTGTAACGTTCAAAAAACACATCATTGAAGACTCTTGGCTTGGGGGGTGGCTTTTGCCGCAGAGAAGCTCTTTCTTCATTCTGGCGCTGCCGCATAACTGGTATGTGTTTTGTGGTGACACCGGAAACGTTGCTGATATTGACAGTGGACAGCGAAATTATTTTACAGACTTTATTGAGAAGCACCTGGACGAAGAGGCGTGTGCTATTTTGGCTTGTCACGAGCCCGCGTGGGTCTACGAAGCCGCTCAAGGAGGCCGTTTGCCTCCTATGCAGTCACAATTAAACATGGTTGCCGACGCTCTCGGCACGCGGCTGCGGCTGCGAATATGTGGTGACATTCACCACTACTCGCGCCACTCACCCGCGGACGCTTTGTCAGAGGCCCCCACACTTGTTGTGAGTGGTGGGGGTGGTGCCTTTCTGCATGGAGCGCTCAACAATCCTGTCGTGTCACAGGGAACAGAGTATAGGCGTTCATCGGCCTTTCCGCCGCGGAACGATATGACGTCGATCCTTGCGCGACTTGTGGGTTTTCGCCTCATCAACTGGAAGTTTGATATTATTGCGGGTTTTTTGTGCTTCGGCCTTATTGTGTCAACTCTCCCGCTGAGTATGCAGGACAAGCGCGTGCAGAACATCACAGATGCCTCTCAGTTTGCTGCGAGCGTTGTGACGCTGACACAGGAGCTTTTCGTGTTCACCTTCAGCAAAGCCATTGTGTCGTTTGCCGTGGCTCTCTTTTTTTTCTCTGTATTTTTCTCTGGTGGATCAGGCAGTCGGGGTGTGGTCTTCCGTGTGATCTACGCATCGCACTGGACTGCGCTCGTGGTACTCGCCTCCACCGGCATGCTGGCCTTGGTGCAAACAACGCTCGTGTACATGACGAACAATCACACGCTTCTGTCGAGCAAGGAGCACTGGGGCAGTATGATGGAGGTTCAGGTGCGCAGCGCTGCAGACACCGTCTTCAGTCACACGCGCGAGTTGCTTGGTGAGGGTCACATGATCTCTTCTGTGATGAAGAAGGTGCAGTTGGCGGCGTACGGTAGCCCGGTCGTTGAGGGCGTGTGTATGGTATTGCGTAGCCTGGACGTTGTGGAGAACTTGGCGTATCTCTCGCACCACGTTAGCTCGGACGTCACGGGCACCTTCTCCCACTTGGCTGACCGCGTACACATCTTCCTGTACTACCTTCACCTGCTGCTGGTTTACTGGCTGCTAGAAACCCCTCTCGTTTCTTTCATCATTGGTGTTTTTCTGTTCGTGTCGTTCTACTTCTTTGGCTTTATGTACGACGCAGCGTTCTCCTCTTTTCAGATTGAGGATTACAAACACTTCGTTCGCTTTCGCATCGATGGGCAAACCAGAGAGCTGCACGGCTACGTGGTGGCAGAGAAGCGCGTGCCAAAGGTGTGGTTGCGTGACACGAGGCATGTCGCTGAGTTCACGAATGCGGAAACAAAGCCCCTCCCGCCACATTTGCGTAAGTGGCCGAGCCGGTGGCAGCCAGTGCAGGTGTCGGGGTCGGAATCCGTGCCGGAGGTGCTTGAGCACTTTGTGGTGAAGCCACATCGGATGCCGAGTCATGTCAGCCGGAATAACAGCAGCACGTAGCTGGGCATTTATGCTGCTGTTTAGAGGATAATTCCCCGCGTGTTGTGGGTGTATATATATATATATATATATAT